TTACATTCCCACAGTGCAGGAGGGTTCCCTTTTCTCCAGAGAAGGTGTATTTTCTTGTTACATCTTGCTGTGTGCTGCCATGGGTACATTTCTGAGCTTTTAAATAAATTTACAATGGAAACTTCTTGATTCAGATAATATTAAAGGACTTTTGTTGGTGGAATTTACCTTAAATTTACTTTTAAGAGGCATAGGAAAGATCCTATTATTTGTAATTATACACTTAGATGGAAAATCAGTTTAATATATTCTTGATTCCATTGTTTCGGGTAGGTTGTGGCTTTTGAAAATGACCTAGGGCAGTGTTTTGTAAGCTTTCCATTACTGTCTTAGCCGTATGTTGTAACAGTTACTTTATTTTATGTACCTCATTCTTCATTTTTCTGTAGGACACTGCTACTAGGTACAAATCAAAGGGGAACATAAAAGGAAAAATTTTAGCTGAAAAATCAGTATTAAGGATCAGAAGAAAAATTAAGTTGCTTGTTAGCTGTATACTAACACTTTTTCTTGCTCATTTGAAAGTGTAGAAGTAGAAACATACTCCCTTTTCTTTGTAAAAATAATTCCTTTTAGAACCCTCCTACACTGCTGAATGGATACAGAAGCTGTGGCATATATATACATACATATATATGTATGTATATAGTGGAATATTACTCAGCTATTAAAGAGAATGAAATAATGCCCTCTGCAGCAGCAAGGATGGACCTAGAGATTATCATACTAAGTCTGACAGAGAAAGACAAATATTATATGATGTCACTTTTATATGGAATAAAAAAAATACAAATTATATTTACAAACTAGAAACAGACTCATGGACATAGAAAACAAACTGGTTACCGGGAGGAAAGGTGACAGGAAGGATAGATTAGGAGTTTGCGATTAATAGATGCACATTACTGTATATAAAATAGACAAACAACAAGGACATATTATAGAGCACAGGGAACTATATTCAATTTCTTGCAATGAGCCGTGATGGAAAAGAAACTAAAAATATATATGTCTGTATGTGTCTAACTGAATTGCTTTGCTGTACACCTGAAACTAACATTGTAAATCAACTATACTACAATAAAAAATAAGAAAAAAAATCCTTTTGTAAAAAAAAGATACATACTTATTCACAAATTTAATCAAAAGAGAAAGGAACAAAAGAAAGTAAAAGCAGCCCAAATCCTGCCACCTGAGAGCATCATTCTCAGTTTCCCTGAGTATACGCTGTGCGTAGCAGGTAACCATGTAACCTGGAGCAGGGACTGAACACGTTCACATCACCATTTCTTAGACTGTGTGTTTCTTGGGGCAGGTGCTGCCGAGCTGTAACACACCAGGTCGAGGTAGCCAGCAGGGTGACTCGCGGTGGTGACTGGCTGCCACTCCCTCCTCACCTGCTTCAGCACTCGCTAGAGAACTGTGGAAACAGAAAGGAAAGGAAAGGAGCGTGTGATTTTTCTGTAGTTCTGCTTTGCAAACCACTGAGAAAAGGCTTTCCCAGGAGAAAATCAAGCTCAAACTTCCCAGAAAAGCGGTGCCTTGGGGGAACTGCATTAAGGGAGCAGTATTTCCCCAAGTGCGTTCCGTGGGGTTTGAAAAGGTACATGAAGAAGTCTTCTGTGGTCAAGGAAGCATGGGAAATGCTGAGGTCGACCGAGTGGGACAGGCGTCTTCACTGACGGGCTCTCCGTGCTTCTGCTGTGTCTCCGGGGTGGCGCGGGCGCCGTGGGCAGTGGTCCCCGGAAGGTTCAGCCCAGAGCCCTTCCTTCCCCCAGCATCACCCGTGTCCACGTCTCTTAGAAAACTTTGGAGAATGCTTATTTGATCCTAGAGTATTGTTTGTACGTCAAAGTTAGAGTAAATAATTTTTTTCAAGTGCGAAGTTTTTTTTCTGATTATAGAATAGTATGTAATCATAATCACCAAGGTAGGGTGAACAAAATTAAAATCACCCGTAATTGCACGACTGGAGATAGCCGGTGCCCTGTGTATTTTAGTGTGTTTTCTTCCAGATCATTGTCAGTGTGTGTGGGTGTGTAAGAGTATGTAGAATTATGGTGTGGGGTGTTTATTTTTTTTTTTTTTGGTCTTGGATAAAGAACATTTTATTAATTAGAGAAAATCTAACTAACTAGAGAAAATGGTGGCGTTCATATGGGATTTTACTATTGTTTTATTCAAAAAACCTTTTGATTTTAGAATAATTTTAGGTTTGGGGTGGAAGAGCATACACCCTTTACTCAGCCCCCCCTAATGTCACATATACAGAGTTTTAGATACTGTTGAACATTCTAGAGAGTTTATAGAAGTTTTTTCTATCTATAACTGAATCTTCCTCGAATTCTGCAGGATGTTTTTGGTGTTTTGGTTTGATAAATCGTGGCCTCTGTTCTTTTCCCTTCCTAGGTTACTACAACAATAGTACCAAGGTGGCCGTAAAAACCTTGAAACCAGGCACTATGTCTGTGCAGGCTTTCCTGGAGGAAGCAAACCTCATGAAGACCCTGCAGCACGACAAACTGGTGCGGCTTTACGCCGTGGTCACCAAGGAGGAGCCCATCTACATCATCACCGAGTACATGGCCAAGGGTGAGCCCCCGCCCCGCCCACCCCCATCACCGAGTACATGGCCAAGGGTGAGCCCCCTGCCCTGCCCGCCCTAGGCTTGCGAAGGAAGACCTCTAACGTCCAGAGAATACTCAAATTAAAAATTACATTTATGTTTGGAATACAATGACTATAAATTATATTTATATTTAAATTATAAATCGTAAACCAGCATGCTCACCACCCCGAAAAAAATCAGAAAATACAGGAACACTGAGCATTTTCACAAACCACCTCATTGGACGGCATCTGTTGTCAAAGTGATGTATCCTTGTCCTCGTTTGTCTGCACTTGTCTCCATGTACACACAGAACAGCCCCGAGAGTAGTACCCCACACCTAGCAGGCCCCCAGTAAATGGTCGTCAAATAAATATGCATTTCAAATAAGGTGTTATTGTAATGTGTTCAAAATGTGAGTTCTCAGCATTCCACAGCCAGTTCATTTTCCTGTTAGCGCTCAGTGTTCAGGGTGTGACTGAGAAATGTTCATAATTTAAAAACTTGTCAAGGTGGAATTCCCGTGTAATCACAGAGTCACTGAAGAAGAGGTTTTAAACAACCTTTGTGGTCACCTTCAGATGAAGGAGTTTGACTCACCATCCTTCTCCCTTCGGGTCGGTAGAGATACTAACAAACCACCTCATGACTTCTAGAGAATCAGAATCTTCAGAAGGAATGAAGGAAGGAAAGAATCGTAAGCTGTAGCCCAGATTTAGTAATCGTCTCATGCAGAATGGAGAGTACAGTGTGATGTCATAGCTGACTAGGTTAGAAAGAGGATTATTACATTTCCTTATTTAATATGTTACTATTTCAGAATATTAATCACTCAGAGTTCTTCCAAACAAGGACATTGTTAAAAAAAAAAAAAAGTTGTATCATTTAGGTTGTTTTAGCCCAGAAACCAGACTCAGGACCAGACGCTGAAGCAGGAATTCCATAGATATTTCTTGGATTAATTAACTAATGGTATTCTTTTTTTTAATAATTTAATTTAACTTAATTTATTTTATTATTTTCTGATGGAAGCACTGGGGATTGAACCCAGGACGTTGTGTGTGCTAAGCATGCACTGTACCACTGAGCTATTACCTGCCCCCCACTAATAGTGTTCTTAATCACAAAGGCTCGCTTGAATTTTGTTTGGATTTTTCTCTTGTGTGTTTGAACTGCACTAACATGCTCTTCCTCTACCAACAGGCAGTTTGCTGGATTTCCTGAAGAGCGATGAGGGGGGCAAAGTGCTGCTTCCAAAACTGATCGACTTCTCTGCTCAGGTGACGTATGAAAACGCCGGCCTGGGGTCAGGTTGCAGACCTCCCTGCTTCTGACTCAGGGTGACGTCCGGGGAGAAGGCGTTGGCGCTGAGGGTTTCCCAGTGGTGGTGGTGACAGAAAGGCCTTCCAAAGAACGCGTCCTTGGAGACAGTGATGGGGGCTTCACTTGGAGCGAGTGTGTCCATGGTGAGGTTTGACCCGGGCGCCTCCATCTCTGACCCAGGTCCGCCTCCTTAGACTTGTATCCATTTCCGCACAAGAGGTAGAAACAGCGCAGCTGAACCGATCTGTGCACTGCGTTTTGAAAGAGCAGTTCCACGCGGTATAAGCACAGCATCTTTTTTTTTATTCTTCTTTTTTTTATTGAAGTGTAGTCGATTTACAATGTTAGTTTCAGGTGTAAAGCAAAATGATTCAGTCATACACATACATACATATAGATTTTTTTCAGATTCTCTTCCATTACAGCTCATTACAAGAAGCTGAATATAGTTCCCTGTGCTCTACAGGAGGTCCTTGTTGTGTCTCTATTTTATATATAGTGATGAAGCCCAGCACCTTCTAAGTGATGCATGTGTGCGGCTGAGTTCCTAATCTAAAGTACTGACGCTTTAAGTCCTCGGTGTTCCTGAAAACAGAGAACTGTCTTCCTTCCCTGCTCTGTCCCGCTTTCACTCCTCCTTGTTGGGTGTGTCTTTGGGATTCTGAGAAACATTCATTCATAGCATTTGTTGCCAATGTGTTTACTTTGGAATCGTGTTCTCTGAAGAGTACTTCGCAGGAGAGGGAAGTTATCCGGAAACCCAGGACTGTGCCTGGGGTCCCAAGGAAATGCTCAGGTGAAGGGTGCCCACTACTGACTTTCAGTGGTTTCATTGTGTCCCTTAGTCAGTCACGTTCAGCTCCTTGCTTGTTTCTCAGTATGGCTCACGGGTGGTTTCTGTTGGGAAGGCCACGGCCCATCAGGCCCAAAGTAGCACAGGAGATTTCTGGAAGTTCTGGAACAGGCAGGTCTTAATGGTCCTCGTTCCTTTCCCATTCCCTCCTCAGACCGTCTTTTAAAAGTTGGGGAATTGGTAAGTCCTTCCTGGGAAGATGAGGCCAAAGGAATGATTTAGCCCACAGGTGGAGCGCGTGGAGGAAGCAGGGGTGGAACCCGCGCTGTGCAGGAGAGTGTGGGGGCGGAACCGGAGTCCAGCGCCCTGGACCGGGTCTGCCCCGCGGCCCTGCCGCTCGGTGGCCATGCCACTGTCAGCAGGGCCTTCGCCTCCGTGGGTTAGTTTTCTCTCCTGTCAACTGGGAATGGTCCTTGCTGCTTCAAGGAGCTGTTGCGGGGATCAAGTCCCACGAGCTGGCGTGGACACGGCACTTCAGAGGCTGCTGCTGGACGCCGAGGAAAACTTGGGGGCGACGGCCCCCATCACTGCAGTAAAGGTGCAACATCTAGTTTCAGTGCACGGAGTGCTGAGTGTCTGCGGGAGGGTCACCAGGTCAGCAGCACCCACGAAGTCCCTAAGCAGCACAAAGCTCACTGTCTTTACAGGAGAACTCCATCTCCTTTTGGCTCCACTTCTGTTCAGGGAGCAAGCCTCACCCCGACCCTTCCCTCAAGGGGGCGCTCGTGAGACCTCCTGCGGCCCCTTAATTGTCCCGTTTCATCTGCTCCTGGCTTTCCTCGTTAAACTACTGACAACATGAGCAGGGGCCTGAACCGTGGCAACAAGGGTGGGGCCTTGACGCCTCCGCCTCAGCCCCAGACCGCGTACCTCCCACATCCTCCGCGCTAACCACAGCGCTGCCCGGTCCCACTGCGCCGCCATCCCGTCCCTCGGGTGCTACCCCGCGCGCCGCCTCCGGGAGCCGTTCTGAAATGATCTCCAAAGAAAGCATCTCTGGATGTTTTCTCCTTTTCCTCGCCATCGCGCGCCGCTGGTTAACGTTGCCGCTTTCCCGCAGTGAATGACTGCGGAATGGTGAACACTAACAAAGCCGGCCGCGGCGGTGGAGGACAACTCGGTGCCTGATAGTCCAGGCTTTCCCACGCTTCTGCACGGGACCGTGACTGGAAACAGGGGGAAGCAGCAGACCTGTGTGGGGCCGGGGCGGTATTTGAAGTCGAACAATGAGTAGTCTGTGCAACGTGTTTATGCTTTCTTCCTTTCACTGGCGTCGGCGGTAGCATCAGAGATTCGGGAACTTGAGTGTTCACAAGAGGACACAGTTGAACTCAGCAGTTTTTTGCAGTGGGAGACAGATTAGAAATAAACCTGTTTACTTCCTCGCAGCCCCGGAAGAGTAAGGACGTGGTGGGGGAGGTGTGAGGGGCAGCCTTGGGACTTTTCCCAGGCTCTCACATGGCCTCTTCTTCCCTCTCCTTACCACCGACCCCCGCCCTCCCCTCCACTTCCCCCTCCCGATTCTCCCAGTGCCAGTCGAGACAGGAAGTGGGTGAGGGCACGTGACGGCCTCTCAGTTCATGTGGGGGCTTCATTTCATCACTTCCTGTCTCAGGATGAGTTAGTCCTAAAAGTCTCTTTGGAGCCCAAGTGTGATCCTCACTCCCCAGCCCATCTCTGAGCACCCCTGCCACCGGCCCACCGCCTTCCTCCCCTTTTAATGGAGAATGAGGCTGTCAGCTCTGTGCGGTGCCTTTCTTCTTGTGTTAAATGAAGCCATTTGTGCTTTTTGTGCTGCAATAGGAAAGTGACCCCTTTGCAAAGGAAGTTGGATACTTTCAAAGCAGAGTGACTTGGCCTGATTCCCTTCCAGCCTTTGCCTCATGTGAGAGAAGAAAAGTGAACTTGGAGGAGGAAGGGGTGAAATCTGTGGGAATTTCCTTCAGCAGAAGCGGAAATAGAATTGTAGACTTGACAAATGGAGAAGAGAAAGAAGTGGGGAAGTCACAGTTGCATTGTGGAGGTCAGAGGAATCATCCTGTAATTCAGGTCAAGGGAACCAAAGCCTTTTTCAGTCTTTGGAGGCAGCGTCCCTCAAGTGCAAAAGGGACCAAAAAATGAAATGGACATTTACCTGTGGGTAAAACTGCCTTGGAAAACGGGGAAGTCAAAGGTGTTGTAATAATCTTGGCAACAAGTACATTTCTTTCGCCCCTTCTAGCTGATAAAGCACTTCGGTCTCCATCATTTAAGTTGAGCCCAACAGCATTATATTGTTATTTAATGCTTTTTACAAATGAGGAGGTGACCTGGGACCTGTCCAGGGGAGAGTTGCTGGGCTCCACCCTGGGTCTTCTGACTCCAGGTAACTGGTTCTTTCCCCTGTAGCCCACAGTCATCCCATGATCACAGTTGCCCTGTGATCATTTCACACTACGCTGATAGCATTTCCCTCTTTTGTGATTATGATTATCAGAATTAATGATATATTTTGTGTGGTTTTTTTCCAAAAACATTCTCTGTTGCCAAGATGTAGATCTTTCCATCACACAGTGATTATGCTCAAGATTTATTTTGCCCCCTAGTGTTGAGGTTTAAGCCACATTTAATTGAAAATTGGAAAAATAAGGCTGGTAGGAAACCTCCGTCTGTGGTCATTGGATGATCAGCCTGTTTAGTAGGAAGGCCTTTGGCTGAGAAAATGTCATACAGACTAGGGCTCCCTTGTAATAACTCTCAGTTGGAACCTGCTGGTCTGTTGGAGGTAACTGGGATCTGAGGTGTCTGGAGCTGGCTGTTCTGCTGAAGTTTCTAGAGTATTTGCCACTACCATCAGACGTGGGTCTCCTCATTCTATCTCCCTGTAAAGAATCTAAAAGACAAGCCAGGGCCTCGTTGTCCAGCTCAAGGCGCTCCTCCACATCCCACTCCCCAAAACATCAGGGTGAAGCAAGTACTTTATTTTTCAAAAGCTTTATTAACATTAACCCTTCAGTGATGGTGTCATCGCATTTAATTTACCTAAACTGGAGGAAGAATTACATCAAGATTTTGAGTCAGAGGCAGCGACAAGTAGAAACCTCAGGGGACAGACTTGATTTGCATTTCATCCTGGAGGCCAGGTCCCCTCCCCACTTCATATTTAATTTCAGCTCTTCACACGAGAACTCTCACGCATGACTCTCTAGGGAGGCCCCGCGTTCCCAGTTCTTCTTTGAAGCCCAAGAGCCTCCTCCGGGGGAAACGGCCAGCACAGCAGAGACAATTAATTCCACAAAATCATCTGAGCTGGGTATCACCCTGGCTGGAAAGGTCACGTGGCCATCAGGATATGATGGTTCCCAGTGCGCATCATGGGGGAACCACGGCTTGGAAGCCTTCCCCAATATAAAATACCTTACAGACATAGTGTTTTCTCTTTCTCCAGAATATGAGAAACATCACTGTCATTTTGTGAATGGAGCTATTGGTGATGTTAATGGTGGAGAAACCATTAAGCCAGGAGTCGGAAAACCTGGACCACCCTGGGGAAAATCATCCTGTAGACCCTGTGTCCTCTTCTGTGAAAGGAGGGGCCACAGGTTAGCTTTCCCATAGCCTCGGCACTACTGTTCCGTGACCTCGAAAATCTCCTCCTTCTTAGAATATCTATGTGAATTATCACCCCAGAGTTATAATTAATGCTTTTAAGTGTATCCAGATGAAATGGTATAAGATTTTGACATTGCTCTTCATACGGGAAAATGAATGCATCACATAAATGTAGTACCCAGTGTCAGGCATGTAAATGCGCTGTTATCTTCCTGGAACAATGAATTTTGTCTGAGGCTTTAAGTTCAGCCCTGAAAACTTACAAAATGGACAAATGAAAGCAGAGTTACTGGCAGAATTGCAAAAGTGGATCATATGCAGTTTCCTTCTGAAAAAGTTGAAAGAATAGGAAACTGTCATTTAAAAATAGTGTAAAACAGGAACTCTTTTTTTTTGGCTGTTGGGCGGTAGGGGTGTTTAAATGTTTAAGCAGTGGAACCATGACAGGTTGTTTAACAGCAAATAAAGAGGAAGTTCTTCTTGTTTTAATTTTTGTTTTTGTTTTTGGGGGGG